TTTCTATTACATTTTGTTTACTTTGGGGGAGGGATGTCCAGGGGTTTGGACATGCATATGCCATGCTGCACTGTTGGAAGTTAAGAGGACAACCTATGGTAGGCAGTTCTCTTGCAAGTTGTGGGTTCTAGGGATTTAACCTGGGTCATCAGACTAGCATGGCCCTATGGGGATTCCTACAGAGATCTACAATGCCATAAACAAGGGACAATACCACGTTTTTGGGTATGCTTCCATCCTGCAGATAGCGGAAACCCATCACACTGTCCCCATGAGGGACATTCTGAAGAGCCACTGTGTCCCTCTGCAGAGACAGCAGGGTCATAAACAGTAAAGAAAGGTGAGAGATATCTAGGTCAACTCAACAGCTCAATAGGGCCACCCTGGATTGGACCCTACACCAGCAGGAAACATAATGAAGGAGGCCACCATTGGGGCAACAGCTGAGGATGGAGCACAGTTGGGGAAAAACACTGGTCCAGGGTCAAAGGTATATGAGGAAGCAAGAAAATGTGCTGCCTAGACTCCAACACTCTGCAAAATGAAAGGGGGGACCAAATACAAGAAAATGATAAAGATGGAAACATCTGATTGGGCTCAGAAGTTCTCTACATCACCCCGCCAACTTTGTGTGCTTAAAGCTCAACTCCCTTCATATCCACGGAGTATTGTTCCAGGAAATCAAAATCTGTGGATACCAAAACTGCCAGATGCTTGGGTAGCATAATGCTTGCCCAGAGTCCCTGAACACCCCCTATAGACATTCCATTAGCTCTGGCTACAGAGCTACAGGTCCAAGTGTGTAAAGAGTCTGTGTCATGAGGTACTGTTGAGTAAATAACCAAGTCTGTGACTAGTCCGTAAGATGAATTTATCAATCACTTTAAATACCTTTTAGCCTTAATTGAATTTACAGGCTTGCCCCTCAGATATTGATACACAGAGAGGGCAATGTTTCAAAATGTTAAGGTAAAATAGTCCTAGAGTCAAGGGATTCTAATTTGCTAAACCTGATGGGTGGGGGCTGGGTTTGTGAAAGCTCTGATTGGAAAACCCCCTTTCCTGTCTTCCTCTTCCTTCATTCAATGGGGACAACAGGAAGAATTTGCATTTATTTGTTTGCTGTGGGGAGAGGCTGACTAAGTAGCTCAGGCTACCCTCAAACTCTCAGCCTGGAGCAACAGGTGTATGCCACCACCGCACCATTTATGTCTCTATATCTACTGTATGTTTATGTGTGACTCTTGCTGATCTGAAACACACTTTGAAACCCAGAGGGTATTTAAGGTTTGGCCCACAGATTTCCCCTCATGGTTTCTCTTCTTACCCTGGGACCACCGTGAATGCTTTGCTCAGATTAAACATGGATTTATTAATTTGGCTTAATCTGATGTATTGCATCAGTGGAGAAACCCGATACCAGGGTACAGGAACTTTTCATGCCTGACATCTTTGAGGTTAAACTGACTGCCGAGAGAATGATCCAGACAGAGGCAGGGAGAGGTTGTGAGGGACACAGCGTTTTTTAAGTGGCTTCCTGGAGACTGGCTGGAGCAAGTGGCAGCCACAGGGACCAGGGCTTCGTGGGAGAGACACCTGTATATCATTTTATCTCCAAGTGGATAACTTTTCATGCCTGCCAAAAGGACATTCCAGGGTCGTGTAGAACGTAGCAAGCAATGTGCCCCACCGAGACCTTCCAGAGGGTTAGATGCCAAGCAGCTCCCGGATCTGATGGGTTAGCGCAGGGACAGGACCCAGGAAACAACGGTGGCACCTGGTGGACAGCCCTGTGGGATCTATATTTCTTACTGGAGTCACCACCCTTGAGCCAGCTCTCCCCACAGTTCTCTGGTCAGTCCTGACTGTGAGACGGGCCTGTGGTTCGAGCTGCTAAGCTCTGTGGAGATGTGCGCCTCTCCTCCCCCTCTTCCAGGGGTAATGAGCCTTGGCTTCAAGCCTCATTAAACCCCATTATATAATCAGCCCCATCCCGGGCATCTTTATAACCCCAGCAGTTGCCTTTGTGGGAACATGGCCGTTCAGCTTCACCACCCTTTACTGCCACCTGCTGCCACTGCCGCCGTCATACCAGGATCTGACTCAGCCTCCAGGTACACACAAGGTCAGGGGCTTAGCTGGTGGTCAACTCCTCCCCTTGTTTCCAGGACAAGGGACAGGAATTGCTTACCAAAGTGATGCCTAAAGGAGCTGGAGGGACAGCCCCAGAGAGGGTACAGCATCTTCCAAGGTATCAGCTAAAGGAGACTATTTCCTTAGCCCTGGGATATGATTCTAGCTGCTACCATGATGACTGTGATAAGCAGGACACAGAGTTAGAGACATTTTTTCCATTCATGGCTGCTGCCCTGAAGGGCTGGAGGGCCACAGGCAACTAACACAGAAACTTCCAGAGCTCTTTGGGAAGACTAGGTCATTCCTCAGCTTCAACGGAAGATACTCAGGATGAATGAGTTGCAGAAGCTTCCAGGAGCTAGCTTTTCAGCCACTCTCTGCAGCTGCCTGTCCAGCCCCCAGGGACGGCCACCACCTGGATCCACTGATGCAGTGAACATTAACAGCAGAGCCCTGGGGTGGGGGTGGGGCTAACACATGTGAATGTGGCATGCTAACCAAGAAGCATCCTCCACAAAACCACCGCACGGTTCTCCAAGCCAGGAAGAAAGCAGAAGGCAGTCAAGAAGCAAGAGCCAATGAAGGAAGCCTTGCAGAATGAACGATTCGCTCCTTCGCTGCTTTCCTGACTTTGTGGCCTATGACCAGGTCCTTAACCTCAGCCTCCATGTCTTCATCTCTTAAGAGAGGATGGCAAACGTCTCAACATGATAGAGGGTGGTTTCTCTATATCATTAGTAATGTAGCAATTAAGTGAGGGAGAGGGCTTTGGACAAGGCCTGTGACACTGTCACCACACAGTGCGTGCCGGTGGTTGTTGGTACCGACAGCTATTGGTACTCTCGTCTCCATCACTGTTTCAAATCACTCCATCACATAACACTCACCAATAGCTCCCCAAACCCCCTTTACTGAGTCACGGAGCGCTAAGCGCCAGCCCCCGTCCTATCCCCCCTACATCCCTGTGGGGGAACACACTCACTCAGAAACAGATTCTTTAAAGGTATTTAGACACAGCCTCATCTACAGCAGCTGGGATCAGAGACAATCAGACAAAGGGCCAAAAGTTCATGGTTTGCCTCCCCCTACTGCCCCAATTGTTTGATCTGTAGGTCACTGTCCCCTTTCCTTGTCACTGCTCACCAAGCGACTCTCTGACTACCATGTAGGCCCACCACACATACAATCTCTGGCTTCTTGAACAGCGATTTCTCTTGATGAATTAGTAAATTGGCCTCCTGCTGCTGATGTGTCTGTCCTGGGGCTGTTTTAATTTGAGTAAGGTAGGGCCCCAGCGTCCCAGGCACTGGGATAAGTCATGCACCATGTTCTCCTATTAATATCTTCATGGGTCCTTCTGGTGGAGACCCCCTGCAATGCATGCTTGTGAATGTTTGCGGACCAATCCAAGTTCAGTATTGAGGCCCTGCCTACACACAATTTTGTGTGTCAGCTATTCCTGGGCCTTTCCCAGGGACAGGGGTTGCAGATTTCCTCACTGGAGAGGGCCCACCGGCTCCCTAGAAAGTAAAGACTGCGTGGGTAATAAATGACACCCACCCCATTTAGAGAAGGCAACGTCATTCTGCCTGGGTCTCGGAGGGACCTGGCACACAGGCTTGGGGCCCTAGCTACTGGGGAGGCTAAGGCAGGAAGAGTTAAGTTCAAAAGCATCAGAGGCTGTAGGCTGCCTTGAAGACAGGGCTAAGCAGTTCAGTGAGACACTGTCTCAGAGTGCTTGGCTAACAAGGGTAAGGGCCTGGGTTCCATGCCAGGGGTGAGGGTGGGGTGGGGAGGCGGAAAAGGAGGATGAGGAAGACGGAAGGAAGAAAGGAACGGAAGAACAAGACTGAAATCTTGGCCCAACTACTAGGTTGCTATGTGACTCTGAGGGAGATCTCTGCCATCCCTGGGCCTCAGTTTCCCCATTTATACCATGGAAATAATCTATATGTGCAATGGACAGTTGCAAAAACAGAATGAGGTACTGAGGGCATCAATTAGCCTGGTGGTCAATAAACCCCTTTAGCACCCAGCAGATCAACAGGACAGCACAGTAGCCTGTGGCAGCTCTAGGGCACAATGGCCAGTGCTTCTGGAAGCAAGCATCCCCCATCCCCCAAATGGTCCCATCAGTCGTCAACAAGCTTTTTTGCTGGAGGAGCGGCAAGGCTCACTTCAGTGGGTTCCCCTCTGCCCACATCTCCACCTTCTAGCAGATAGTGTCTCTGGGTAAGATCAGAACTTTCTGGAAACTCAGCCCTCTGCCGCCAGTGACTTCCATCTGTGCTCCAATCCAAAGCACAGTGTCTCTGGCAGCAGTCTGTGATTGCGGACTGTAAATCCCAGGCCACACTTAACCTGGTTTGAACCCCAATATGTCATTGAGATGCAAAAGTTATACATGTTGACCCCAGGCAATAAAATGTGCATGATCTCACCACAGACCCCACATGGACAGAGAACCCCTAAGACAAGCAGTTGAAAGGTGGTGGGGCGCAGGGAGAGAAAAGATAAATGTTCCCTCTCATGTCCCCCAACACCCCTCCCACCTCCCTACACCCCCCCCGCTTTGGTTTCAACATTCTATCACACGGGCAAGCCAAAGAGCAGATACTGAGGATGCCTGACAGCCAGTCACCTCCAAGTGCCAATCACGCCCCCTCCAAAACCATCTAACGACCCAGGAGCTGCACACGTGGGAGGGAGGTGGCAAGCTCTGGATGTGCCCTGACCCGTGAGATCCAGAAGCAGGGAGGGGAACACAGAACGCAGGCACCCTGCAGGCAGGGAAAGTGGCCGACAGTGCAGGCGGGCGTCTGCTGACCCCAGTCAGTGCAGCCTGGGGGCCAGCAGGGACTTACTCGCAGAGAAACTGGCCTCAGTGTGGACGGGTGGGGTGGAGGGCAGAAAGGGTGCGTGGCCCACGAAGAAGGACCGCAGGGAGCGCTCGGACAGGAGTGGGGAGCGCTGCTGGGCGGGGATGTTCTCACAGCTGCCCACGCCACTGTGGATCTTGAGGTTCAAGGGTTTGCTCTTCTTCTTGGCTCTGAGAAGGAAACAGAACAAGGAGACAAGGTGAGTCTGTCTGTGCTGGCTACACAATCAATATTAACACTGCCCACCTGGCTTGGCTGGGCACCGTGAAACATAAGCACAACCTATACCAGCCGAGACCAAGTCCGCTGGAATGTTAACTGGGCATCTCTAAGTCTTCTAGAACATCCCTGCCAGTGAGGGGTGTCCCAACACCTGATCATTTGACATTTAACTTAAGAATAACATAAACTATCTTTCGAATAATATTTTATAGGCACCATCGTGTTGCGTGTTGGCTGGTTGAGTTTTGGGGTTTTGTTTGTTTTGTTTTTTATCAACTTGACAGCAGCTACACATTTGGATAGAGAACCTCAACTGAGAAAACAGCTCCAACAAGATAAGCCTGTGAGCAAGCCTGTGGTGCATTTGCTTGATTGACAATTGATGGGGGAGGGCCCAACCCTCCATGTGGGTGGAGCCATCCCCGGGCTGCTGGTCCTGGGTTCTGTAAGAAAGCAGGCTGAGCAAGCCATGGGGAACAAGCCAGTGAGCAGCTCCCTCCATGGCCTCTGCATCAGCTCCTGCCTCCAAGTCCCTGCCTGGCCTTCCCTCAGTGACAGAGTGTGGTGTGGAAGTATGAACTGAGACAAACCCTTCCTTCCCAAGTTGCTTTTGGTCCTGGGGTTTCAACACAGCAAGAAAAACCCTAAGACAGCTATAAAATGTATGCTTTTTAACGTAAAAAAAAATAAGGTGAGGGGATTAGCAATTTTAGGTGGCTGAGTGCTGATTCAAGACTAGGCTAATGTGACGCATTACCATACTCCAAGCACTCAGGAGGCTGAGGCAGGAGGATGCTGACTTTGAGGCCAGCTTGAACTACAGAGCAAAGCTCTGCCCTGAATGAACAAAAGAAAAGGAAAAAGTAGGTCTCAGAGATATTTTTTATTCCTTTTTTCCCCTGGACATCTTCCTTGTAAGCAGTCACTGGGAGGTAAAGCTAGTCAATTTCCAGTGAGATTCCTCACACTGGGACGGAGATGAGAAGGAAGCTCTAAAGACAGAGGACTCCAGCCAGGTGCTGATTGATCTCTGGTGGGAGCTAAGCGAAGGCGGCTCTCAGAGCATGAGCGCAAAACCCAGTTTCTAAAACCTCGCACTTGACCAAATGGGAGGCCCTCCTCTGCTCAGCATCGTTGACCTCTGTCTTGATAACTCAGCTCTGGCATGACTCCTTCCAGAACCTCCCTGGTAAGTCCAGTTCCTCCCAGCAGGGACAGGTGGTCCTCCTCCAGGAAGCCCTCCCTGATAACCCTCTTTCCCCCTGAACTGAGCTAGCAGTTTCTCTTTGTGTGTCTTTGTTTGCTTGTTTGATTGATATCTGTATGGTCATATTTTTCCCATTTTCCCCACACTTGTAATCTCCCTGGCAGAACATGGATCTTGAGGGCACTGGATTTTTCATTGTTCCATCCTTGGCAACTGGCTTGGCACCAGGCACACAGTGGGTGAATTGCCTGGCACACAGTAGGTGCTGCTTAAGTGGGCGTTCTGAGTGACGGCTGTGGCCTAGGGTATGGAATATCACACTACATTCTCATTCTCTACCCTCCACCCCCAGCCTGCTGACTCCCCAAGGACAGGAACCATGAAGAATGCACGCCTGCATCTCTCAGCCCCTGGCTTGGCACCCATGAAAAACGCACGCCTGCATCTCTCAGCCCCTGGCTTGGCACCTATGGCATAAAACAGGCCTCACACACTGGTGTGAGACTACATCTCTCAACACCTTCCCACCCACTTCTCCAAACTTCCATCTGCCCAGCACGGAGCCGAGTGCCCTCTGGTGGCTGCTGCAGAACCTGCTGGCCAACTGTCAGTCCTGGAGGGCTCTAGGCCTCCTTTGGGTACCACTTAAAAAAAAAAAAGCCACGCTCCACCTGCCTGTCCCGCCACCCCTCTCAGCACCCCAGGGGAAGCAGTCGATCCTGCTGATCCCTCAGGGGCCTGCTACAAGGCTCGGATAGGTGCTCCCCCTTATACTGGCTCACATCTGGAAACTCATCCTTGGAAAAAATGAGCTGTGAGGAAGCTGGAGCCAGTGAGTCTCTTTTGCCTCAAACTGGCAAGCAGTGGGAACTTAAAGAGGCATATGCACCAAGGCCAGCACACAGCTTTTAGGGAGAGAGAGACAGAACTTGAGTCATCAGGAATGAGATGTCCTCTTTGTGCTTCAGTTTCCCACCTGGACAGTGGAGAGAACTCTGGTCCCCTTCCCAGAAAGCATTGTGAGACCATGAAGTTCTATAAGGTAGCAAGGCTGCATGCTGTTTTCATGAGCGTGGATGTACTCTGGTTGCATCCAATGGCCAAACAGCCATGCAGGAAGCCTAGAAAGAAACTGAGAACTGAAGCCAGACTGGGCTTTCCCTGAAATTTGCAGAACACCCTTCACCAGCTTTGGCAAGGGCAGGGGACATGGACAAACCACTGAGCATAAAGCTATGCTCATCCCCCCATCAACACCTACGGGAGCCTGGGGCACTGACAATGAGGTCATGCAAATCAGAGCAAGACTGGAGTGTACCACGCCCAATCCAGCAGCTCAGAGATGTCAAAAGTGATGTGGTTACCAACCCATAGTCATGAGAGCCGATAACTGTCAGACAGATGGGAGAAAGGAGGGGGAGAGAGGAGAAGGAAGGAAGATTCAATGAAGGAAGGATGGAAGGGGAAAGACGATGATAAATGAATGGAAGAGGAGGGAAGATGAGAAAAGAAGGAAGAAAGAAGAAAAAGAGAGGAGATGAAGGAATAACGGAAAGAAAGGGGAAGAGGGAAGGAGAACAGGTGGGTAGATAGATGAGCAGGTGATGGGTAGATGAGTGGATGGGTGGGTGGGTGGATGGATGGATGGATGGATGGATGGTGGATGATGGATGGATGGATGGTGGATGGATGGATGGATGGATGGATGGATGGGTGGGTGGATGATGGATGGATGGATGGGTGGGTGGATGGATGGATGGATAGATGGATGGATGGTGGATGGTGGATGGATGGTGGATGGATGGTGGATGGATGGATGGATGGGTGAGTGGGTGGATGGATGGATGGATGGATGGATGGGTGGATGGATGGATGGATGGTGGATGAATAGATGGATGGATGGATGGATGGATGGTGGATGGATGGATGGGTGGGTGGATGGATGGATGGATGGGTGGATGGTTGGATGGATGGTGGATGGGTGGGTGGGTGGATGGATGGTGGATGATGGATGGATGGATGGTGGATGGATGGATGGATGGATGGATGGATGGATGGTGGATGGATGGATGGATGGATGGTGGATGGATGGATGGATGGATGGATGGGTGGGTGGATGATGGATGGATGGATGGGTGGGTGGATGGATGGATGGATAGATGGATGGATGGTGGATGGTGGATGGATGGTGGATGGATGGTGGATGGATGGATGGATGGATGGGTGAGTGGGTGGATGGATGGATGGATGGATGGATGGGTGGATGGATGGATGGATGGTGGATGAATAGATGGATGGATGGATGGATGGTGGATGGATGGGTGGGTGGATGGATGGATGGATGGGTGGATGGTTGGATGGATGGTGGATGATGGATGGTGGATGGATAGATGGATGGATGGATGGATGGTGGATGGGTGGGTGGGTGGATGGATGGATGGTGGATGGATGGATGGATGGATGGTGGATGGGTGGGTGGGTGGATGGATGGTGGATGGATAGATGGATGGATGGATGGATGGATGGTGGATGGATGGATGGGTGGGTGGGTCAGTTGGCGGGTGGGTGGGTGGATAGATGGATGGGTGGATGAATGGATGAGTTTGTATTTCCACATGAAAGTTATAGCTTAGAAAATGGGGTTTTCAGACAATAATTAAAAAGATAAACATGAATTAAGAGTGAGCAAGGGGTTTAAAAAAGACTTTTTTCCTCAAGATGTATGAAAACCCAACAAGCACACACAGAGATGCTGGAAAGTTCGTGGTGGGAGACACAAATCAAAATGACAATAAGCTACAACCCCAGTCTTCCTGGATGGCCACACTCATCACGTGCTGATGAGGACATGGAGTGGGAAGCCATGGGCATCACTGACGAGAACGTGAAGATGCATGGCCACTACAGAAAATACTTTGGTCAGGCTTTGACCATATAAAACTAAAGTTTTATACAACCCAACAGTTCTATTACCTAACTTTGTACCCAAAAGAATGGAAAATAAATCCTCAAACAAAAATTGTTCATGGACATTGACACTTGACACATTGACACGTGAACACTGACAACCACCAAAGGGTAGGAAATAAAAACCCAAATGCACATCACTGAGCAGCAGAAGACAAATGCGATCTGCCTGGATAATCAAATGCGCTGCAATCTTATGATGTTCCGACTCATAGCCCAAACCGAGTGAACCTCAGAGCTGTCATGCCTCAGGAAGAAAGCTAGACGCACGTCCACAGAGATGGACAGCAGGCTGGCGGCTGCCAGGACTGGAGGACAGGAAGGCGAGGGGGTCCAAGTGCACGTGGAGGTACTGTTTTGCTCTTTGCCTTGGGGTCACGAAGGGCCCTGGAAATGGGCAGAAGTGGTAACTGCTGAGCCTTGAGTGTGCTAAATGACACTGAAGAGTGGCCTTTAAAGGGTTAAAATGACCAATGTGGCATCACAGTCATTTATTCAATTAGAGAACCCATTCTAATGCTGCTTGTGCTATGTATTTACCCCTTGAGTAGATGTGTGACCTTTATCTAGTGCTTAACCTCTCTGAGCCCTGAGGTCTTTGCTGGTACAAGGTACAAATAACTTCTCCCAAGGTTGCTTTAAGGAGTCATTGGGCTGGATGGGGTTGTTCCAACTGCCTGGTGGTGAATCCAGAAGAGGCTACTGAGGTTCTTTTTCCCTTTGTCCTTGGTCAAGGAGTACTTTTGCTTCTAGATTGGGGACACAGTCCTTCCTCTGGGGAGGCAGATCAGCACTCAAAACTGAATGAAGATAGACACACATCCATGAAGAAGACTAAAGACTTCCTTTTGCCCTGGACACTTGACTCGGGACACACAAAGGTCTGAGAGCCATGATGACAGGGAAGAGAATAACTTCCTGTATGAGGAGGGTGGGAAGTGTCTTCAACAAGACACTCAAAGTGAATTCCTGTCCCTCAAAAGCTCCCCCCCCCAACCAGGCATGGAATGAATTATCCCTTTCCTGCCCCTCAAATCCATATGTTGAGATCTTTCCCCTCCCAGATTTCAGAATGCAAGTGTAATGGGAGCCTGGGTCTTGAGAGATCTGGTTACAGGAGCTAGGAATGTAGCTCAGTGGGTAGAGCTCTGGCCTGGTGCTAACACAGCTCTGGGTTCGATCCCAAATATCTCATAAACCCAGCACAGCAGAAGTAGGGAGTGGGGGGGATCAGGAATTCAAGGTCATCTTTGGTTACACAGCAAGTTCAAGGCCAACTTGGGATACACAAAGACGCTGTTGAGGAGGGAAGGAAGGGAGGGAGGGAGGGAGGGAGGGAGGGAGGGAGGGAGGGAGGGAGGGAGGGAGGGAGGGAGGGAGGAAAGCAGTGAAGGTTAGATGAAGTCATGAGAGGGGACCCTAACCCAGTTAGGGTCCTTCCAAGAAGGACATGTATACACAGAGAAAGGGTGCATGAGGTCACAGTGAGCAGGGGGTCATCTGTAAACCAAGGAGGGAGGCCTCATGAGAAACTGACTTGCTGAGTTCTTGATCTTGATGCCCCTCCCTGCAGAATAAGGAAGAGCCCCTGTTATTCAGCTGCCAGGCTTATGGTCCTGCGATCATCTCAAGGGGGTCCTTCCGACCTGCTGTCTTTCATGGGATCGTCACCGGGTGCCTCTCTGTAAACTGGTCCCACCTTAGTCCCCTCCTCAAATCTCTCTTCTATTTGAACACTGCATTTGCTCTTGAGTTCTATACTGAGAAAATGAGATCTTGTGTGTGTGTGTCTGAGTCTGTGTCTGAGTGTGTCTGTGTGTGCATGTGTGCATATATGTGTCTGTGTGCATATATGTGCATGTGTGTGTCTGTGTGTAATGTATGTATGTCTGTGTGTGTAATGTGTGTGTCTGAGTGTGTAATGTATGTGTTTGTGTGTGTGTGTCCTGCAGGACACATGTGCAAGGTAAAGAACAGCTTGTAGGAATCAGTTCTGTCCCCCTCTGGGTCCCAGA